CTTTGTAGGAAAGCAACGTTGCTACATCTGTTTTGAGTTGGCGTCTCTTGTTTCTGAATTTTGTGGGGCTTTGTCAAGAAAGGCCTTTGGCAGAGTGCCAAAGAAGATAAAGAGGTTTGTGATGAGTCCGAAGGACTGTTTATGAAGGATTTGTTTTGGAATTAATTTGGACTAAGCTGAGAATGAAGTAATTCTCAGCTGTTCTAATAAAATATGTTTGTTTAGGACTGATTGTGTCTGGTAATAACTACTTGGGCCTAGGTCACAACAGAACTAAAAAGAAAAAACAACAACAACAGAGAAGGCAAGAAGAGAAAGAAAGTTGAAAAAAAAGAGAAAAGAAAGAGAAAAGTTACCTCAGACTTCCAGGATTTTTCAAAGCATATTTATAAATATATTTTAACCTCTCTCGGTCTAAAATTACAATGAACAGGTCATCCTCGACTTATGACCACGACCGGCCCAAAAATATCCACAGCTAAGCAAGTTGTTTAAGTGAGTTTTGCCCCCCTTTTTAGGACCTTTTGTGCTGTAATTGTTGGGCCAATCCCTGCCGTCGTTAAGTTAGTCACACGGCCGTTAAGTGAATTGGGCTTCCCCATGGACTTTGCTTGTCAGAAGGTGGCCTGACTAGGTGGCTCAGTGGCTAAGGCCCTGAGCTTGTCGATCAGAAAGGTTGGCAGTTCGGCGGTTCGAATCCCTAGTACAGGTATCCATCTCTGTTACTGTTAAGGTCGCAAAAAGAGATCACGTGACCCCGGGACATTGCAACCATCCTAAATACATGCCAGTTGCCAAGCGTCTGACTTTTGATCACGTGACCGTGGGAATCCTGAAATAGTAATAAATGCGAAAAAAACGGTCGTGTCACTTTTTAAAGTGCTGTTGTAATTTGAGTGGTCACGAAATCAGAGGTGGTATTCAGCCGGTTCGGGCCGGTTCAAGCGAACCGGTAGTAGAAATCGCAGGTGGACCCGCCCACCCGACCTGGTTCTATGCCGTCCTATTTAGGCACATTTTTGAGGCTGTGCGCATGCGCGGAAGTGGCGTGTGCGCTCACATTTGCGAACCAGTAGGGAAAGTAAGTGAATGCCACCCCTGCACTAAATGAACGGTCATAAATTGAGGACTACCCGCATTACACTTTTGTCTGTAATCTGTCCTTTGGAGCGATCAAATCTCAAATTCATGTATTTATTAATTGTTACGCAAAAAAAGTCCATTAGAGGCACTGGTGGGTTTTGAAACTTTTTACTACCGGTTCTGTGGGCGTGGCATAGCTTGGTGGGCGTGGCTTGGTGGGTGTGGCAGAGGAAAGGATACTGTAAAATCTCCACTCCCTCCCCAATCCAGGGGAAGGTTACTGCAAAATCCTCATTTCCTCCCAATCAGCTGGGCCTTGGGAGGCAGAGAATTGATGGGGGTGGGGCCAGTCAGAATTTTTACTACCGGTTCTCCGAACTACTCAAAATTTCCGCTACCGGTTCTCCAGAACTGGTCAGAACCTGCTAAAACCCACCTCTAAAGGTAAAGGTAAAGGTTCCCTCGCAGATATGTGCTAGTCGTTCCCGACTCTAGGGGGCGGTGCTCATCTCTGTTTCAAAGCCAAAGAGCCAGCGCTGTCCGAAGACGTCTCCGTGGTCATGTGGCTGGCATGACTCAACGCCAAAGGCGCACGGAATACTGTTACCTTCCCACCAAAAGTGGTCCCTATTTTTCTACTTGCATTTTTTACGTGCTTTCGAACTGCTAGGTTGGCAGAAGTTGGGACAAGTAACGGGAGCTCACCCCATTACAGGCCACTAGGGATTCGAACCGCTGAACTGCCGACCTTTCGATTGACAAGCTCAGCGTCTTAGCCACTGAGCCACCGCGTCCCTATAGAGGCTCCTAGTCACCCATAAATGCAGATATTGTCTTTGTTTTTCTGATCTGGGAAGTTCAATTTATCCATTTCAAAGAATGAATGCATAATTGTCAACTTCACCATCCGCTCCTCCGTAATGCTGGTGTCAATTTTTTTTATTATCTCCATCTATGTAATAATCTTGCCCGGTAATCTTAGATTCAAATAACCTTCTGTGGCTTTTTTTCCCCTTTAATCCTAAAAAGAAAAATTCCCGACTTCGTCTGAATATTGCTCTTCAAAATCGTCTGTATCAAAGTATGTATTTAGATCCATTTTTTTTTTTAGTCTTTTAAATCTTTTAAATCTCCACCCAGCATGTCTGCTTGTCTGTATCTTCCAAGTGGTAGCATCTAACTGGCTTAGAAGTTCAACACGGCCAGATCTGATTGCTATTTGGGTGGGAGACCACTCGGAGATCCATAAATGGATGGAACCAAGACTGATAAATCAAAAAGGTTTTCTGGAAAATGGCTTCTGGGTGATTGCAAGAAAACGACACGGATACAGTCACAAAATTAGCAGGAGTTGAGTTGCAATCGAAGGACACTTTAGCTCAGGGGTCGGCAACGTTAAACACTCAAAGAGCCACAAAGATCCTAACTGGAAGCCCGCGTTCAATTCTAGAGCCGACCGGAAGTCCGGTTCCCCCACCATAGAGTCTCCTCCTAGTGCGGCATCCTTTCTCCTCCATTTGTCCTAACCGAAAGCCCTATCAATCGTGGAGCCGACCAGCAACAGGGAGCCACAGCAGAGGGATGAAAGAGCCACATGCGGCTCCAGAGCTGTGGGTTGCTGACCCCTGCTTTAGCTGCATATGTGATGGTACTGCGTGGATGCAAGTGTGTACGTTGAAGTCTGATTTGTGTGATCAGTTGCTTCCTCCTTGGGAGCCTGCGAAAGTGCACAGGGGAAGAAATTTTCTGAACTTTTGCGTAACAGGGCAGGAAACAGGGTTTGCGTTGTCGTTCTCGGACCCTGCCACGCGCACGTCACACCCTTAACACAATCCTGGAATTCACCCCTTCTTCTTCGGCTGCAGGGTTTGTCAATCTCAATGGCTTTCAGATGGGTGGACTTCCCACTCTCCAAATTCCCCCAGCCGGCATGCAAAAACACAACCGCAATTTGGGTGCAGCCGTCAGTTTCGGTTCATTTGTGAGTGTCGGGGGAAGTTGGGGCATTGATTTTTTTTTTTTTGGACCTTGGTTTGGGAAGGCAGAAAAAATAAGCTTTGCTGAACTTTTTTTTTTTTTTTTGAAGCCTATAATTCTGTGGCTCGCGTCTGATTAAACTGTTTGAACTCCGACTCCAACCTTCAGAGTCGGCACCAATGGTCAGCAGCCCTGGACAGCTGCTGTGGACATCCAGGGTTAAAAAGGGCTGCTAACTAAGTTTCTACTAAGTTTCTAGTAAGAAAGAAACTAAGGTACTAAGGTAGAAACTAGAAACTGGAAAAATAGTATTATGTAAGCAAATTAAGCCAGACAACACGCTGTTCGCAGAGCACTTACAATATGTATATAAAGAGAAAATGTATAAATAATAATAATAACAACAATAATATAATACTCTACTCCACTCCACTCCACTCCACTCCAATATTCTATTCTATTCTGTTCTGTTCTGTTCTGTTCTGTTCTGTTCTGTTCTGTTCCGTTCCGTTCCACTCCACTCCACTCCACTCCCTTTATTCTACTCTACTCCACTCCACTCCACTCCACTATTCTATTCTGTTCTGTTCTGTTCTGTTCTGTTCTGTTCCGTTCCGTTCCGTTCCGTTCCGTTCTGTTCCACTCCACTCCCTTTATTCTACTCTACTCCACTCCACTCCACTCCACTCCAATATTCTATTCTATTCTATTCTATTCTATTCTATTCTATTCTATTCTATTCTATTCTATTCTATTCTATTCTATTCTATTCTATTCCATTCCATTCCACTCCACTCCACTCCACTCCACTCCACTCCACTCCACTCCAATATTCTATTCTATTCTATTCTATTCTATTCTATTCTATTCTATTCTATTCTATTCTATTCTATTCTATTCTAGTCCACTCCCTTTACTCCACTCTACTCCACTCCACTCCACTCCACTCCACTCCACTCCACTCCACTCCAATGTTCTGTTCTATTCTATTCTATTCTATTCTATTCTATTCTATTCTATCTTTTATTCTATTCCACTCCCTTTACTCTACTCCACTCCACTCCACTCCACTCCACTCCACTCCAATATTCTATTCTATTCTATTCTATTCTATTCTATTCTATTCTACTCCACTCCCTTTACTCCACTCTACTCCACTCCACTCCACTCCACTCCACTCCACTCCACTCCACTCCACTCCACTCGACTCCACTCCACTCCTCTCCACTCCACCATTGGCAGAAATGAACCAGGGTGGGAGCAGGGGAGAAAGATTTAAATAATTTCAGTTCTTTGTAGAGGTTCCTCATCAGATTAAACTAATTTGTCGTCAATCACTGATTAGATTAAATGGGAATTAAGAGGTGATACCAACCATTCATAGCTCAATAGCTCAATAAAGTCCTGCTTTTTAATCTGGACCTTTAACTACTGAACCAAAATAGTTTTCGTTTATCTGCAAGCAGTCCTCGACTTATGACCGTAACCGAGCCTGCAATTTGGGTCATAGGTTGTGACAGCCGTTGAGTGGGGGCCCCTCATGGGACAGTGACCCATTTTATGACACTTTATTTGTGCCGGTTATTAAGCGAAATGGTCGTTGGCTATGGAGTGGGGTGTTTTGTTTTGGTTTTTTTGCAAAATGTCCTAGATCACCGTTGTAACTGCAGGACATTTGCCGAGCACTTAAAATAGGGTCAGATGACTGCTGGAACGGGGATGGGGGAGTGGGGGACAGAACTCGGAACCTCAAATCTGGTTCGTACATAGCTTTTCCGGGGTCCGTCGTGACTTTAAATGGTTGCTCAGCCGCCAGTCCTAAACCGAGGACTTTCTAAATTGCTTTCGTGACATGCGGTTTTGATATCCTTGAGTCTTACACTTCGATCAGCTTTGAGTTTCGGTTTTTTTTCATGCTCCTGTTTTGATTTTCCCACCAGGCCTGGCTGCAACAATATGGGTATTTGCCCCCGGGCAACCTTCGCACCCATACCCAGCGTTCTCCCCAGTCGGTGTCGGCCGCCATCGCTGCCATGCAACGATTCTACGGACTTCGAGTGACAGGCACAGCTGACGGGGAGACTATGAAGTGAGTGGGCCTTGTTTTTCGTTTCCTGCACTCGGAGTCGTTCACCTTTCACCAGCTTCTCTTCTTACAAAATTTACTTTTTGAACTCTGAGGGGAAAAATAAAAAAACCCACGATGAATTGGGAGATTGTTAACGGATTACGTGCCACGGGGTGCTGAAGGAAGGAAAGACCGAAACATTGTATGATTTTGTAGACGTGGCTGTAGGCCTTGACCGAAATCAAGATAATTTATCTTTCTCTTAAACCGCTCTCTAAGCGGTTTACAGAGTCAGCCTCTTGCCCCCAACAATCCAGGTCCTTGTTTTATCGACCTCGAAAGGATGGAAAGCTGAGTCAACCTTGAGCCGGTTAGGATCGAACTGATGGCAGTAGGCAGAGTTAGCCTGCAATAGCAATAGCACTTAGACTGTAAAACAGCTCTATCTGGGTCATCGTTTTACCGACCTCAGAAGGATGGAGAGCTGAGTCAGCCTTGAGCCGGTCAGGATCGAACTGCTAGCAGTAGGCAGAGTTAGCCTACAATAGCAATAGCTTTTAGACTTATATAGTGTTTTACAACTGTCTCTAAGTTTACAGAGTCAGCATCTTGCCCCAACAATCTGGGTCATCGTTTTACCGACCTCGGAAGGATGGAAAGCTGAGTCAACCTTGAGCCGGTTAGGATCGAACTGCTGGCAGTAGGCAGAGTTAGCCTGCAATAGCAATAGCACTTAGACTTATATACTGCTTTACAGCTCTATCTAAGTAGTTTACAGAGTCAGCATCTTGCCCCCAACAATCTGGGTCATCGTTTTACCGACCTCAGAAGGATGGAGAGCTGAGTCAGCCTTGAGCTGGTCAGGATCAAACTGCTAGCAGTAGGCAGAGTTAGCCTACAATAGCAATAGCTTTTAGACTTATATAGTGCTTTACAGCTCTCTCTAAGTGGTTTACAGTGTCAGCCTATTGCCCCCAACGATCTGGGTCCTCGTTTTACCGAGCTCGGAAGGATGAAAGGCTTAGTCAACCTTGAGCCAGTCAGAATCGAACTGCTGGCAGTCAGCGGAAGTAGCCTGCAATACTGCATTCTAACCACTGTGCCACCACAGGTCCCGAATGCAAATTATTTTCCTCTGTGTGTTGAGTACAGAGAGGAAAGCATCTTTCGGGGTTGTAGAAATGGGTGCCTCCCCAACTTCGGAACTGGCAACTAATGGCACCGACTTTAAGTCGGGTGGCCAAGAGTGAAGTTGCCGATAAAGGAGAATTATTTGTAGCTCGGGGTTGAAACGAGGAGTTCCTTGGTGCCCTCTGAGCTTGGTAGGGTTTTGGTTTTTTTTGCGGACGTTTCGTGACCCAACTAGGGAATATCATCAGTGCTAGAAGGAGAGAGAGGAGAATGAGGGGGAGGGAAGAGGAGGGGGAAGGAAAGAGGAGGACCGTGGGGTCCTTGGTGCTCTCTGAGCTTGGTGATTTTCTTGCAGACCTTTCATGACCCAGTTAGGTAATATCATCAGTGTTAGAGGAGGAGGAGGAGGAGGAAGAGGAAGAGGAGGACTATGGGATCTTTGGTGCTCCCTGAATTTGCTTGTTTTCTTGCAGAAGTTTCCTGATCCAAACCAGGTAACATCATCAGTGCTCCCGATGATGTTACTTAATTTGTTACCTAGCACTGATGATGTTATGTAGTTGGGTCATGAAACGTCTGTGAGAAAACCACCAAGCTCAGAGGACACCAAGGATCCATCAGTCCTCCTCCTCCTCCTCTTCTTCCTCCTCCTCCACTCCGCAAACCCCGCTCCAGCTCTGGCCTCACAATCAGGAGGTTGTGAGTTCGATCCTAGGTAGAGGCAGATGTAGGGTCTCCTGCTTGGGCAGGGGGTTGGACTAGATGACCTGCAAGGTCCCTTCCAACTCTGTTAATCTGTTAAACTGTTACCGTGTTTCCCCGAAAATAAGAACATGTCTTATATTTTTTTGAACCCTGAAATAAGCGCTTGGCCTTATTTTCGGGGTGGTCTTATTATTGTAGGGCGTGTGGAGCAAGACGGGGATCCTCTTGCCGTTTTACCTGATTTCCAGCTCTGTCTCTGAGGAGGGCTTATTTTCGGGGGAGGGTTTATTATCTCTGAGGAGGGCTTATTTTTGGGGGAGGGCTTATTATCTCTGAGGAGAGCTTATTTTCAGGGGAGGGCTTATTTTCGGGGAGGGCTTATTATCCGAGGGAGGGCTTATTTTTTGGGGAGGGCCTATTATAAGGGGAAGTTTATTTTCGTGGGAGGGCTTAAGATCCGAGGAGGGCTTATTTTCGTGGGAGGGCTTATTTTCAGGGGGAGGGCTTATTATCCAGGAGGGGGCTTATTTTCAGGAGAGGACTTATTATCTGGGAGGGAGCTTATTATCCGAGGTGGGCTTATTTTTGGGGGAGGGCTTATTTTCGGGGGAGGGCTTATTATCCAGGAGAGGGCTTATTTTCAGAGGAGGGCTTATTATCTGGGGAGGGCTTATTTTCAGGGGAGGGCTTATTATCCAGGGGAGGGCTTATTTTTGGAGGGGGCTTATCTGGGGAGGGCTTATTTTCAGGGGAGGGCTTATTATCCAGGAGAGGGCTTATTTTCAGAGGAGGGCTTATTATCCGGGGAGGGCTTATTTTCAGGGGAGGGCTTATTTTCAGGGGAGGGCTTATTATGCAGGGGAGGGCTTATTATCCGGGGAGGGCTTATTTTTGGGGAGGGCTTATTCTCTGGGGAGGGCTTATTTTCGGGGAGGGCTTATTATCCGGGGAGGGCTTATTTTCAGGGAAACATGGTAAATATGAGCCGAGGTGGCGCAGTGGTTAGAGTGCAGTACTGCAGCTACTTCAGCTGACTGCTAGTTCAGCAGATCAGCAGATCAAATCTCACCGGCTCAAGGTTGACTCAGCCTTCCATCCTTCCGAGGTGGATAAAATGAGGACCCAGATTGTTGGGGGACAATATGCTATATGCTAACTTTGTAAACCGCTTAGAGAGGGCTGTGAAGCACTTTGAAGCAGTATAGAAGTCTAACTAATAAATAAATAAATAAATAAACTGTTAAATTTCCTCAAGAATGAATTAAGATGGCCTACTTTTGGGAACCTCTTGTGAAAGGAAAACCGATGCTGGTTTGGAAAGAGGTGTGAATTGGAAAGCCAGCGATCCATCGTGGTTTAGATCCGATCTAGAGAAACGTCCTTGCTGGAAAAACCCAGAACTCATCTTTTTTTTTTTTTCTAAGACGTTATCCAAGGCTTCCCACATCGCTGGCAGTCAGCAACAGATCTTACAAAACCACCTTGGATGATGTCACTTGGGGGGGGAGGGAAGTACAAGGTTGCGGTTGTGTGCGTCGAGGGAGGGGAACCAGATGCGAAAGTCCCAGCCTTGGCGAGTGGGCAGCGTGGCTGCAGGGCATCCTGTGTTGAGGTTGGCCCTTGGCAAGCCTACAAAGCGACTAGTGTCTGGTGAGGTTAGCGTTGACCAGTGGGACTCCACACCACAAGAACTTGGCAAAGAAGAGAGGGGGAATTGGAAATAAATCTGGGAGCAGCTTCAGACAGGCGACGATGGCTTGGGATTACTCAACGGCGTTGGGGGGGCCGGGCAGAAGAGGTGACTGTCGCTGGGAAGCTTCGTTGCTGTGTAGGCAGGCTGTCAGAGTGGTGGCCATTTTGTTAATCGGACAGAAAAAAGAAATATCCGTGATGAAGACTGAAAGCGGTTTATTTATTTTTTTAAAAAAAACCATTTGATGCAAAGTTTTGGATCGCACAGAATTCTTCTTTAACGTTAGGTGATCTTTCTCGGCGTTAGCAATTTAAAGATATCTGGGTTTTAAACTCCCAGACAAGTTAAGTTGCCAATGTGAAGAACTTATGGGTTAGGTACTATTCAGTATGGTTGTTTGTCTGTCTTATCTGTATCTCCATTTTGTTCTCTCTCTCTCTCTCTCCCCCTCTCTCTCCTCTCTCCATTTTGGTGTCTATCTCTCTCCATTTCTCTATCTCTGTCTATCTATTTTTCCAGTTTACTTATCTATATCTCTCTATTTTGCTGTTTGAACCTTCCTTCCTTCCTTCCTTCCTTCCTTCCTTCCTTCCTTCCTTCCTTCCTTCTCTCTCTCTCTCCTTCTCCTCACCTCTCCATCCATCCATCCACCCACCCACCTATCTGTCAACCCATTTATCCATCTATCTCTCACCATTTTGCTATCTGTCTGTCTCGATCTGTCTGTCTCTCTATCTGTCTGTCTCTCTATTTGGCTATCTGTTTGTCTATTTCCATTTTGCTATCTTCCCCTCTCTTTCCATCTGTCCATCCATCCTTTTGTGACCTAGGCCCAAGTAGTTATTACCAGACACAATCAGTCCTAAACAAATATGTTTTATTAGAACAGCTGAGAATTACTTCATTCTCAGCTAGGTCCAAATTAATTCCAAAACAAGTCCTTCATAAAAAGTCCTTCGGACTTATCACAAACCTCTTTATCTTCTTTGGCACCCTGCCAAAGGCCTTTCTTGGCAAAGCCCCACAAAGTTCAGAAACAAGAGACGCCGACTCAAAACAGATGTAGCAACGTTGCTTTCCTACAAAGAGACAGAGAGCTGTTGCTGCTCTTTTAAGGCTTATGGGAAGGGCCAATCATCTCCTGGCTTTACTCCCAAGTCGTCCTTTTTGCTTTAGCTGCTCTTGCCTTCTGGCAGCTCTTCGTATGCGTACACTAGGAACAGGCTCCTCCTGTTCCTCTGCCTCCCTGCTGTCCGCCTCTGGAGGCTCCAGAATCTGTGCGTCGCCCCATCTCTGCCTCTGACTCAGAGCCCTCATCTGGGCCTTCCCTTGACTCCAAGACCGGCCCATGGTCCACCCCAGCCTCCTCACTGTCTGATTCTGCTGCCAGCTCCGCAGGCTGCTGCTGGAGTACAACACATCCAACCATCTATCATCCATCCATCCATCCGTCGATCTATCTCCATTTTGCTATTTGTCTATATCTCTCACTAGCTATCTTCATTTTGCCGTCTCTCAGTCAGTCAGTCAGTCAGAACAGACAATTGCTGATAACATATACCATTTTTCCTTTAGAAATAGCACTAGCTCTTAGACCAGGGGTCAGCACGGTGGTGGGTTCCTCCCAGTTCAGTCCGGTTCGGCCGAGCCAGTAGCAATGACGATATGATGTCACCGAACCGGTTCTCCTCCCCCCCGCCCTCCCACCCCCACCCCTCCCCCACGTTATTCTTACCTTTTATTTGGTCCCACCCCCAATCTATTGCTGCCTCCTGAATCCCAGCTGATGACTAGAGGGAAAAAAACTGTTTAAACTCTTGCCGCGGGGCTTCAAAGGGCCGTCCTAAAGCTGGTCAGTGTTAAAAGCAAACAAATGAGTCGGGTCGTAAGTGCGCGGACTGGTTGTAAGTGCGAGGACTGGTTGTAAGTGCGAGGACCTTCCAGAAATGACTCTGACCACTCTGGCCACACCCACAAAATAAGCCACACCCACAGAACCAGTAGTAAAAAAATTTAGAACCCACCCTTGGGTCAGCAACCTGCAGCTCTGGAACCGCATGTGGCTTTTTCACCCCTCTGCTGCAACTCCCTGTCGCTCAAAATATGCGTCACAACCGCCAATGTGCGACACCCACCGGCACACGATTTATTGAGCTTTTCAATCCCCGGTAGGCCGACCAGGGATAAATCCAAGAAAAGAAAAGTTTCAGAAGAAAACAGAACGTTTAATTCAACTACATAACGCTAGTTTTGTGGCCCCTCAGGAAATCGTCAGGCACGGGAAGGTTTTTGTGGCTCCCGGTGTTTTCTTTTCTGTGGGAAACAGGTCCAAACGGCTCTTTGAGTGTTTAAGGCTGCAGACCTCTGTCTTAGACTTATATACCGCCGCACATGGCTTCACAGCCCTCTCTAAACTGTCAACGTATTGCCTCCATCAATCTGGGTCCTCATTTTACCCACCTCGGAAGGAAGGATGGAAGGCTGAGTCAACCTCGAGCCGATCAGCATCAAACTGCAGGTTGTAAGTAGGTTTCTACCTAGTAGTTTGGAAAAGCTTCATTTGGGAACTTTACTCTGTGGTTATGTATCTGTTTAGAAATCGGTTAGGTCATTATTTATCTGTGGTTCTATTTGTGTCCATGGTACTTTAGGAAGAACGAGCGGTTAGAAATAGACGCAGACCGAGACAAAGAGTTCAGGGAAGAATAGAGATGTCGCTACGTTTATACAGTTTCTGGCATTTCCCGCTCTAAAAAAAAATATTCCAGCGTGAGAGAAAAGACGAAAGCTGAAATGGGAATTAGGAGATGCAGGAAAAATAGACCTAGAAATTTTGAGAGGGTTGGTATACGATCAATGGAATTTATCCAGGATAGGCTAAAATGAATTTCCTGTCCTGGATAAATTCCATTGATCGTATACCAACCCTCTCAAAATTTCTTGGTCTTTTTTTTTATTCATTTTAGCCTGCTTTGTAAATCTTTTTGCAATTTTCTTTTTTTCTAATAAAAGGAAACCAAAGTAAAAAAAAAAAAATTAAAAAAAAAAAGGAATTTATCCAGGATAAATTATGCATTTTTTTCCCCCATTGCTCTGAGTTCCTGAAGAAAATCTATGCAATTTTCTTTGGGAACAATATGGAAGTGATTCTCTTTCTTTCTTTCTTTCTTTCTTTCTTTCTTTCTTTCTTTCTTTCTTTCTTTCTTTCTTTCTTTCTCTCTCTCTTTCTCTCTCTCTCTCCCTCCTTCCCTTTCTTTCCCGAGATGGCGCAGTGCTTAGAGTGCAGCACTGCAGGCTACTTCAGCTGACTGCTAGCTGCAGTTCGGCAGTTCAAATCTCGCCAGGCTCCAGGTTGACTCAGCCTTCCATCTTTCCGAGGTCGGTAAAATGAGGACCCAGATTGTTGGGGGCAATAGGCTGACTCTGTAAACCGCTTAGAGAGGGCTGGAAAAGCACGATAAAGCAGTATATAAGTGCTATTGCTATTTCTTTCTTTTCCTTCCTTCCTTCCTTCCTTCCTTCCTTCCTTCCTTCCTTCCTTCCTTCCTTCCTTCCTTCCTTCCTCTTTCCTCCCTCCCTCCTTCTCTTCTTCCATTCCTTCTTTCTTTTCTTTCGCCTTCCATCCATCTCCTCCTTCTCCTCCTCCCTTCTTCCTTCTTAAATTTGCTAAGCCTGAGAAATCTTACTTTATAGATCTGTCTGTCCATCAACCAACTTATGCTTGTAACTGCATCCTGGTTCCCCACTTCAGACCTAACCCCACTCCCCCCCCCAAAATCTATTCCACACCCTACTGTCTCAATTAGACCACCATTGGCTTATGGGCAGTGGTGAAATCCAAATTTTTTTTTACTACCGGTTCTGTGGGCGTGGTTTGGCGGGCGTGGTGTGACTTGGTGGGCGTGGTAGGGGGAAGGATACTGCAAAATCTCCATTTCCCACCCCACTCCAGGGGAAAGATACTGCAAAATCTCCATTCCCACCTCACTCCAGGGGAAGGATACTGCAAAATCTCCATTCCCTCCCCACTCCAGGGGAAGGATACTGCAAAATCCCCATTCCCTCCCCACTCCAGGGGAAGGATACTGCAAAATCTCCATTCCCACCCCACTCCAGGGGAAGGATACTGCAAAATCCCCATTCCCTCCCCACTCCTGGGGAAGGATATTGCAAAATCTCCATTCCCATCCCACTCTGGGGCCAGCCAGAGGTGGCATTTGCTGGTTTTCTGAACTACTCAAAAATTCCACTACTGGTTTTCCGAACTGCTCAAAATTTCCGCTACCAGTTCTTCAGAACCTGCTGGATTTCACCCCTGCTTATGAGTAGGAAAGAGAGTCATATTTCTGCAGCTAAACCGTGCATTTCGTTGGAGCCCAGAGTACTTCCCACTTCTTAATTTAGGCCAAGGCATCCATTAAAAGCCTTCTGGTGAGCTAGGAATTAATCAGCTTGTGGGTTTGAGAGTCATCCATGACTCCAGAGGCAACAGCGATGGTGTTCCTTGACCAGCGATGGGTTTCACATTTTGTTACCACCGGTTCGCACCACCGGTTCGCCACCACCGGAATTCTGCACATGCGCTTGGCTTGGAATTTCCGCGCATGCGCCCCTCTTCAAATACGTGCCTAAATAGGATGGCATAGAGCTGGGGCGAGTGGGCAGGGGCAAGTGGGCAGGGGCGAGTGGGCAGGGGCGGGCCCACCTGTGATTCCCGCAACCGGTTCTCCTGAACCGGTCTGAACCGGCTGAATGCCACCTCTGTCCCTGACGTCCGATAACGGGAACGATATTCCAAGATCTTTTTTGTTCAACTTGCCCAGGTGGCCTTCAGTCTTGGGGAATCTACCTGGCTGCTTTCCCATCCGAATGCCATCTTAGATATGACCCTTGTTTGTATCCCGCCTTCATTACTTTTGCAAATAGTAGGCGCCGAACGTATCCAACATACTTTCCTCTTCCTATTTTCCCCACAACGACATTCCTGAGCGGTGGGTTGGGCTGAGAGGGACGGACTGGGCCAAAGTCACCCTGCTGGCATTCATGCCTAAGGAGAGACTAGAACTCACCGTCACCTGGTGATTGGGCCAAAGTCACCAAGTGGGCTTTCGTATCTAAGGTAGAACGGGAACTCACCATCTCCTGGTGATTGGCCCAAAGTTACCCAGACAGTGTTTGTGCCTAGAACTCAGAATCTCCTGGTGATCGGCCCAAAGTCACCTAGACAGTGTTTGTGCCTCATGTGAGACTAGAACTCACCATCTCCTAGAGATTGACGAAAGTCACCCTGCTGGCATTCATGCCTAAGGAGACTAGAACTCACCGTCTCCTGGTGATTGGCCCAAAGTCACTCAGCTGGCTTTCATACTTAAGGTGGAACTGGAACTCACCATTTCCTAGTGATTGGCCCAAAGTCACCCAGACAGTGTTTGTGCCCAAGGTGAGACTAGAACTCACTGTATCCTAGTGATTGGCCCAAGATCACTCAGCCAACATTCATACCTAAGATGAGGGTAGAACTCACTGTCTCCTGGTGATTGGCCCATCACCCAGACAGTGTTTGTGCCTAAGGTGAGACTAGAACTCAATATACTCCTGGTGATTGACCAAGGTCATCCAGCTGGCACTCATGCCTAAGGAGATACTAGAACTCACCATCTCCTGGTGATTGGCCCAAAGTCACTCAGCCAGCATTCATACCTAAGATGAGGCTAGAATTCACTGTCTCCTGGTGATTGGCCCAAAGTCACTCAGCCAGGGTTCATGCCTAAGAGGAGACTAGAATTCACTGTCTCCTGGTGATTGGCCCAAAGTCACTCAGCCAGGGTTCATGCCTAAGAGGAGACTAGAACTCACTGTCTCCTGGTGATTGGCCCAAAGTCCCTCAGCCAGCGTTCATATCTAAGAGGACACTAGAACTCACTGTCTCCTGGTGATTGGCCCAAAGTCCCTCAGCCGGCTTTCATACCTAAGATGAGGCTAGAACTCACTGTCTCCTGGTGATTGGCCCAAAGTCCCTCAGTCAGCGTTCATGTCTAAGAGACACTAGAACTCACTGTCTCCTGGTGATTGACCAGCTGGCATTCATGTCTAAAATGAGACTAGAATTCACCATCCCCTGGTGACTGGCCTAAAGTCACCCAGGGGGCTTTCGTATCTAAGGTGGAAACTGGAACTCACCATCTCCCGGATTTTAGCCCGGTCCCTTAACCACGAGACCAAACTGACCAGGTTGGCTATATACTGCTACCAGACACGTCGCCTCCATTTGCCCCCTTCTGAAGATGTGGGGACTGCCACAATTTCTGCCCCCTCTTAAACGGGGAACACCGCTTTCGGAGGGATGCAAAAGAACTTTTTGGGAACCCAGAAGCCACTCCCTGCAAACTTTTAATTTTCTGGTTTTCTCTCTCCTTCTAAGGGCTATGAAGAGGCCTCGTTGTGGCGTCCCGGATAAATTTGGAGCGGAAATTAAAGCCAACGTGAGGCGCAGGCGCTACGCGATCCAGGGTTTCAAATGGCAGCAGATGGATCTTAGTTTCTGGTAAGACGCAAGCAATTGTTGTTTTTGTTAAATTCTGCATAAAGGGCCAGGAAAGAAGGAAGCTAGAAAACAGGGTGGGGAACTAGAATTCATTTGAAATCTTGTCGCTCCGGAAACTTCAGTTCCCTCCTACCCCAAACACCAGGGTGATTTTTAACATATTTTGGCACAAACATGAGGACTAGAAGCCTTTAAAGAAAATAAAAGTGTTCCTCAACCCTGGGTGACTTTAAGATGGGTGGACTTCAACTCCCAGAATTCCCGGGCTGGCTAGGGAATTCTGGGAGTTGAAGTCCTCCCCATCTTAAACTTGCTGAGGTTGAACTTCCTGGCTATGGAATTCTGGGAGTTGAAGTCCACCCATCTTAAAGTTGCCTAGGTTGGATTTTCTGACTGGGGAATTCTGGGAGTTGAAGTCCTCCCCATCTTAAAGTTGCCTATGTTGGACTTTCTGACTGGGGAATTCTGGGAGTTGAAGTCCACCCATCTTAAAGTTGCCTAGGTTGGACTTTCTGACTGGGGAATTCTGGGAGTTGAAGTCCACCCATCTTAAAGTTGCCGAGGTTGAACTTCCTGGCTGAGGAATTCTGGGAGTTGAAGTCCACCCATCTTAAAGTAAAACAATGCACTAAATCTTACTGTTATAAGTCCAGATTCTCAAGTTCCCTGGAAGATTTCCTGTACCTTCCTCATTAACTTCTGGAGGTGTTAAAAGCGTCAATCAAAGATACCCAAATAAGATCGATTAATATCGATTAATAAAGCTGAGAATAGGAGCCCTTGATTTATCATTGAGAGACGAAAAAAATTGAGGTTGGGAGAGACAAGTGAACGGGTTAATCTATCCAACACATCACAGCAGCTTTGCTAGCCTGAGGTCCTTCAGCTATGGTGGAACCACAATCTCAGAAACACGGATTTCTGCCTTGAGCAGAGGGTTAAACTAGAGGATCTCTAAAACCCCTTCCTTTCTATGAATTTATGGGGTGCTAGTTGACAATTCTGGCAGCCGAAGTCCCAAAACACGTAGATAACATTAGGTTATAGGACACAATGTTGTGGATTGTGAAGGGTCTTGGCAGTAGACAAGTTGTCTTCCCATTAAGGCAGAGGTCTTCAAACTTGGCAGCTTTAAGACTTGTGGACTTCAACTCCCAGAATTCTATGCTGGCTACGCTGGCTGGAGAATTCTGGGAGTTGAAGTCCACAAGTCTTAAAGTTGCCGTGTTTGAAGACCTCTGCATTAAGGTGTTATGTGAAGCAAACCCAGTTTGTAGATCCTGGTTAGAGATCTAAAACTGTGGTATGAACTCAACCATGGGCTCTAGGTCTTCATTTTTTTGCCTCTATTGCAGCATCCAGAACTACACACCCAAGGTTGGCGAACAGGCCACCTTTGCCGCCATCCGACGGGCCTTCCGTGTCTGGCAGTCGGTGACGCCGCTGCGTTTCCGCGAGGTGCCCTACTCGTCCGTGCGGGAGGGTCGTGAACCGCAGGCGGACATCATGATCTTCTTCGCCGACGGCTTCCACGGGGATAGCACCCCGTTCGATGGCGAAGGCGGCTTCTTGGCCCACGCCTACTTCCCGGGGCCCCACATCGGCGGCGACACTCACTTTGATGCGGCCGAGCCCTGGACCTCTCGCAACGATGACCTCAGCGGTGAGGGCGGGATTATGGGGCAACCTTTGATGGAGGATGTTCCGAGATGGGGGATGGAGACCGTGACCCTTGGAGGAACCCGGAAGGCCAGAGTGATTATGCGAGTGACTCACGGATGGTGATCCATCTGTGGTTAATCCCATCTACTACTCACTCGCTTGGGGCACGGCAGAACGTTGCTTCTCTTTTCCACTTCTCTAGACTTCCTCGTTCGTGTTCTCAGTTCCCCCTAGACAGTGGTGAGAAGTTTTTGAGGTCAGAAGTGGGAAGGATGCCCGTAGAAGAGGCTCCATGCTCCATGTCCCCAATAGCAATAGCACTTAAGACTTCTATACCGCTTCACAGTGCTTTTACAGCCTTCTCTAAGCGGTTCACAGAGTCAGTATATTGCCTCCAACAATCTGGGTCCTCATTTTACCGACCTTGGAAGGATGGAAGGCTGAGTCAACCTGGAGCCGGTGAGATTTGAACTGCTGAACTGCAGCTAGCAGTCAGCTGAAGTAGCCTGCAGTGCTGCACTCTAACCACTGTGCCACCTCGGCTCTTACCTGAGGTCCTTCAGCTGTGGTGGAACTACGACCTCAGAAACACGGATTTCTGCCTTGAGCTGATTTTTTTTTTTTGCTGAGCTACCTAGTCCGGATTGTCTTCTGTGAATCAATCACTCTCTTCCTGCGGTTCCTCCAGGTTGAGGGAAGTTGCAACAGCTGGAGGATGAGGTAGGGATTTTCGACAGCGTCCTTGGCCCTGAGTTCATTTCCTGCCCTTCTGCCTTACAGGAAATGACATCTTCCTGGTCGCCGTCCATGAGTTGGGTCACGCACTGGGGTTAGAGCACTCGAACGACCCTTCTGCCATCATGGCCCCTTTCTACCAGTGGATGGACACGGAGAACTTCGAGCTGCCAGAAGATGACCGGCGGGGGATACAACAGCTCTATGGTATAACAGAATAACTGAGTAGGGAAGGACTTTGGAGGTCTTCTAGTCCAATCCCTTGCTCAGGCAGGAAACCCTATACCAGTGATGGCTAATCTTTTCTGGACGGAGTGCCCAAAGCATGCACCTGAACCCACAAAATGCAATGCACGCTCGCCCCCGCGCATGTGTGCATGGGCCCCCGCACACACCCTGCCCGCCGTGCACGCGTGCATGACCCCCCCGTATGTGCCCCACCCCCACGTATGCGCACGTGACCCTCCCACATGTGCCCACCCCGGCCCTGTGCATGCGTGGCAGAGCTGAACTGGGGCGACAGCTCACGTGCCCACAGAGAGGGCACTGTGTGCCACCTATGGCACATGTAGCATAGGTTCACCATCACGGCCCTATACCATTTCAGACAAATGGTTGTCCAATCTCTTCTTAAAAACTTCCAGTGTTGGAGCATTCACAACTTCTGGTGGCAAGTAGTTCCACTGGTTAATTGTTGTAACTGTCAGGAAATTTCGCCTTAGTTCTAGGTTGCTTCTCTCCTTGATTGGTGTCCAACAACTAGATCCTTCATGGATTTTTCTCTCTTCTTCCCCAAACACCATTTTAAAACGTAGCCTTTTGTTCTTGGTCAATTCAAGTACATCCAGAATGGGGAGGTTTGATTCTCTTCCTTTCTAGAGGTCACTTTGACCTTTCTTAGTTATGTTCCTCAACTCCTAGAGAAGTGTTCTTCACTCCAGAACCCATCCTGAGTTGGATTCAACTCCCGTTGTCCTCAGCTGCTGGTTGTGGAGATGGGAGATTGTCCCTGGGGAGGAAAACCACTTAGAGAAGTTTCTACCCCGTCGGCCATCTTAGATTTTGGAATTCAGGTGAAGATTCAGACCAACTCTGTTCCTTCCTTCTCTTCAGGATCTGAAGGTGGCCATCCCACCAAGCCTCCCCCGATCCCTCGGACTACTCCAAAACCCCGAAACCCTCACAGGCCCCCCAAGAACCCGACTTACGGCCCCAACATCTGCGACGGACGGTTTGACACGATTGCGGTACTCCGGGGTGAAATGTTTGTCTTCAAGGTGAGGTGTTTGGAGAAATTTAGCATCGCTAAACCGAGAGGAAGGCTGCTGGCTGGGTGGGAGACACACGTTTTAGATTTTGGACCAATTCTGTCATTCTGCGTGGGGCAGAATTCTACAAACTGAATCCTGCGTTTGAAACCCAGCACACATTTCCATGAAATTAACCACTGATGGGTTGCTGAGTACACCATGTTTCTTTAATTCAGGGGTCAGCAACCTGCGGCTCTGGAGCCGCATGTGGCTCTTTCATCCCTCTGCTGCGGCTCCCTGTTGCTGGTTGGCTCCACAATTGATAGGGCTTTCGGTAAGGAAAGGTAGAGGAAAAAGGATGCCGTGCTAGGAGGAGACTCTATGGTGGGGAACCGGACTTCCGGTCAACAGAGGAAAAAGACGGCATGCTAGGAGGAGATTATGATGGGGGAATGGGACTTCCGGTCGGCTCCAGAATTGAATGGGGGCTTCTGGATAGGACCTTTGTGGCTCCTTGAGTGTTTAAGGTTGCTGACCCCTGCTCGAATTAGAAAAGATTACATTCAACTAGATCTGGATTACAGGTGGACCTCGATTTAGGACCATAATTGAGCCTGAAATTATGGTCGTATGTTGTATGGTACCACCAAGCACCTAATCCCTGATTTATGGTATCTGTATTTAATGATTTTTAGACATGAAGATGCCTAGATTTGACTTTCCCACGGAAATGAGGTTTCTTTTCATTTGCATAACTTGACTGATGGAATGAAAAATTTCACGTTTTTTCAGGATAAATGGTTTTGGCGAGTACGTAATAACCGCGTGATCGACGGATATCCCCTCCCGATTGGTCAGTTCTGGGTCGGTCTTCCTGCGTCGATCAACACGGCCTACGAGAGGAAAGATGGGAAATTTGTCTTTTTCAAAGGTTAGTGGACTTATGTTTTGGGTCTGAATGGCTCGACTTTTGATCGAGAAGAGCTAGCAAGATTACAGAGCGTGAAGGAACAAATTTAAATCTCTTCCCGTTCTCTACATGGTCTCCTGGTTTTTGCAAACCGAGCCTAAAATGTGAATTTTAGTGAACTGCCTATCAGTTGTAAATCATCGGCAAAACATATAGACAGTCCTCAACTTATGACCTGTTCTGACCTAGGCTTCCCAAGAGCATGAAGCAGACTCCTTGTTCTGACAAAAAGCCTTTTTTATTAAGTTACTGTGAATTCTTCTCATTCACATCCAGCAAAGTCTTTCAAGGGAGAATTTACAGTCACAGACCTTATTTGGCTTGGAGAGCTGCCAGGCCGATATCTTCAAAACCTGTCAAGGAGCCACGAAGTAATTGTCTCCTGCAAACTCCACTCCCCTTTCGCTCCTCTTTTATTCCCTCTGGGAGGGGCCATTCATCGTCCACCTATGGCTTTACTCCTGAGTCGACCCTTGTTCTTTAGCTGTTCCCTTCGTCTGGTAACTCTGCGGATGCGCACAATGGGAACAGGTTCCATCTGTTCATCTGCCTCACTGATGTCTGACTCCGAAGGCAGCTGATAACTGGCATATGGCCCTGGCCCCCTCTCTGCCTCCTACGCAGAGCCCTCATCAGAGCCTTCTCCAGACTCCAAGACTGGCCCATGTTCCTCCCTAACCTCCTTACTGTCTGAATCTGCTGCCAGCTCTGCTTGCGGGCCACAACATGACCATAATTAATCCTCCGACTTTTGCTGCTAAGTGAGACAGTTGCATTGTGAGTTTTGCCCCATTTTATGGCCTTTCTTGCCACAGTTGTTACGTGAATCCCTGCTGTTGTTCAGTTAGCAACGTGGTTGTTAAGGGTATCTGGCTTCCCCATTGAATTGGGTTTGTTGCAAAAGGGGAGCATGTGACTTCAGGACTCTGCAACCGTCGTAAATATGAGCCAGTTGCCAAGCATCTGAATTTTGATCATGTGTCCGTGGGGGGATACTGCAATGGTCGTAAGTGTGAAAAACGGTCATCAGTCACTTTTTTCATTGCCGTTGTAACTTCGGTCCCTAAACGAATGGGTTGTAAATTGAGTACAGAGAGACTAAGTTACATTTGTGGTTTGGTTGGTACATTTCAGTGAAAAAGCGATTCCCAAATTGGTATCTTCCTAATGTCTCTGGATATCCCATCTCCACGCCTCCCGCTCCTGTAGCTGCGGGTTGCACCAGCTGGGGAGTATGGGAACTGTAATCCAAGACCTCTAGAGAAGCCCTCTAGAGAAGACTTCTTTGGAGAACACGACGTTGGAGTAACATTGAAATTCAGAATGGTGCAGGATCACTCAAAACCCTCTGCTCTTTAATGTAACGTGTCTTTGTACTATATTGGTGTGACTCAGATTTTAATCCACCTGGATTCTTTATAAGCCCAAAGAGAAAATTAGAAACAACAAGAAGCCTAAACTCTACTGGTTAATGACTGCAATAAAGTTATGCTGTTGGTTTGAGCTCCGAACTTGGCATTTGGGTTGCAAACGTTTCGTTACCATTCGAGGAGACACCGTCAGTGCGTTTTGAGCTGGGCTCGTCTATTGACAGACGAGCCCAATTCAGAACAGACTGACAATGTCTCCTCAAATGGCGACGATACGTTTGCAACCCAAATGCCAAGCTCGGAGCTCAAATCAACAGCCTGACTACCAACCCGAACTACTAATATTTAAACACATTTTAACTGCAGTAAAGCTGTTTGATTTGAGAAGCTAACAAGCCAGTTCTCATTTCCAAGTTTATTGGCACAAACAAAGAAATAGTCTGTCCATTCATGATTCTGTTTGCATCAGAACTACCTGAAGCCACCAGTGATATACAACTCGGACCTGGGGTTTCAGTTATTCATTTTTTCAATTTGGCGTTAAATGAATCAGAGGATCAACTGAATCGAACCGAACTGAAGAATATAACAGAGTTGGAAGGGACCTTGGAGGTCTTCTAGTCCAACCCCCTGCTCAAGCCAGAGACCTTATATCATTCTAGACAAGTGGTTTTCCAATCTCTTTTTAAAAACCTCCAACAACTTTTAGTGGCAAGCTGTTCCACTGGTTAATTGTCTTCACTGTTGGGAAGTTTCTCCTTAATTCCAGGTTGCTTCTCTCCTTGATTAGTTTCCATCCATTGTTTTTTTTTTTTTTTTAAATTTGATTTATATGCCGCCCTTCTCTGAAGACTCAGGGCGGTTTACAATGTGCTCAGCAATAGCCTTCATCCTTTTTGTATATTTATACAAAGTCAGCTTATTGCCCCCACAAACTGGGTCCTCATTTCACCTACCTTAGAAAGGATGGAATGCTGAGTCAACCTTGAGCCTTGGCGAGATTCGAACCCTGCAGTAATTGCAGGCAGCTGGTCTTAATAAGCTTAATAACAGGGTGCCTTAAACCCCTGTACTACCAAGGCTCTTGTTTACCTTCAGATGCTTTGGAGAATAAGCTGAGCCCCTCTTCTTTGTGGCAGCCCCTCAAATACCAGAATGCTGCTATCATGTCTCCCCTAGTCCTTCTTTTCACTAGACTAGAGAAACCCAACAGTTTTGAATGTTTCTCAAACAAAGACCAGAGATACTTAGCACGGCTTGGTTGACCGTCTCTCTCCTTGCAGGGGACAAACATTGGGTTTTCAACGAAGCCAACTTGGAGCCGGGATACCCGAAACATATCAAGGAGTTAGGAAGGAGGCTCCCCACGGATCGGATCGACGCTGCCCTTTTCTGGATGCCGAGTGGAAAAACATACTTTTTCCGGGGAAATAAGTGAGTTGGCCAAATGTTTATCGTCTCCGCTTCTGTTTAGCTGGAGAAGGGAATTATATCCCAGAGTGTTAAGGCATGTAGTCCTTGATTTAAGGCCGCAATTGAGCTTAGAATTTCTGTCGCTAAGCGGGACAGTTGTTAAGCAAGACCGTTTGCTCCATTTTACACGGATTTGCTTTCTTGCAGTGGTTGTGAATCGTTGTAATTGTTAAGTTAGTAGTTGTTGAATGAATCTAGGACAGTGGTGGGATTTTGCCCAGGGGTGGGTTCTACTTATCTTTACTACCGGTTTGCATCGTGCCCAATCGTGCTCGCTTTGCTCGCGTGTGGGCTCTTCTGCGCAAGCGCAGATCGCTTCTGATGATATCTGGGTCAGTGGGCGGAGCCTCCCACCGATTTTACTACCGGTTTTATAGAACCGGTCCAAACCAGGGGCAACCCACCACTGCTGGTTTAACAACCGGTTCGGTGGGCATGCATGTGTGCTTAAGGTGCTTGCGCGCAGCGCTGAAAATGGAGAATTTAGAAGCTCAGCTGCTTACCTTCCAAGTCAGCAACGGTAAGTAGCACAGCGAGGAGGGGGGAAATCAGCTGTGCTGCACAGTTGAGATGAGCTACAAAGCAGGAAATAAAGCACAGGATAGAGCGGGGGCGGGTGGGCGGGGCCAACTGATCATCGAAGCTACCGGTTTCTCCGAACCGGCTGAATACCACCTCTGATCTAGAATCTAGAAAAAGCATCTTTGGGATAAATGAATCGACCTTCCCCGTTTGACGTTGCTTGTCAGAAGGTCGCCAAAGATTTAACGGTTGACACTGCAGCCTTCCTGAAGGTTTTTAATGAAGTTGGGTGTCAACTTCACACCCAGTTCCCATCATAGAATCGTAAGAGTCAGAAGGGACCCTCGAGGTCTTCTAGTCCAACCCTCCCTTAAATCGGCCTCTTTTTCGTTCGATGAATCTCAACGTTCTCTTTTCGCGATGCAGGTATTACCGCTTCAATGAGGAGACCCGATCTGTCGACGCGGATTACCCTAAAAACATTGATGTTTGGGGGGGAATTCCCGACTCACCCCGAGGTGCATTTATGGGCAGTGACGAAGGTAAGATACAAAAAAAGAAAGAATGTGGAGAAAATTAAGCAAGAGTGCTCAAAAAGAAACTGTTTTTCTACCATTGAAAGCGTTCCCACTATCTACTATTTTTTTTTTTTTGCAAAGTGGCCCCCTACGGTTGAAAGTAAAAACTCCCATCCGCCATGTTGGATGGGTGATAAGAGCATGTCCCAAAAGCACTTTTTCTATTCATCCAAGAAGCTTTTGACTGAATGGTGGAGGATGGAAAGATTTATATTCCTTGCAGTCATCTGGTAGTTAGCATTCTCGCTGTGAGTTGTTGAGGTCATTTGGAGGTGTATCCGTGCCCTCAGGGTCACTTGAATAGTGCAAATGGGTGTAGAATGCCCCCGATACACCTCCAAGTGGCCTCAACAACTCTCAGAATAGAGCGCTAACAACCATTCAGTTAGATCTGAAGAAGTGTTATGACCTAGGCTTACTGAATCATTAAGACACACGAGTAGTCCCAAAAACCTCTTTTATTTCAACAGCTGTGAATTACTTTCATTCACAGCTGAGTCCTAATTAGTTGCAAAAAGTCCTTTGGGAGATGTCCTTCAGGATAATCACCAACCTTTTATCTCCTTTGACACGCTGCCAAAGACCTACTTGGCAAAGCCACACGGAGTCCAGAATCAAACAGAGATGCTGACTGGGAACAGAATTAACAATGTTGCTTTCCTGCAAAGGGCCCATAGGCCTTTGCTCCTCTTTTAAGCCTTATGAGAGGGGCCAATTATCTCCAGGCCTTACTCCTGAGTTGTCCCTTTAGTTTTAGCTGTTCTTGCCTTCTGGCAGCTCTGCGCATGCACCCACTAGCTCTGCTGTCCAACCCTGGAGGCTCCTGAGTCCGCGCATCACTCCCAGATGGCCCTGGCCCCGTCACTGCCTCCGACGCAGAGCCCTCATCCAAGTCTTTCCCAGACTCCAGGACTGGCCCATGTTCCTCCCCAGCCTCCTCACTGTCCAACTCCGCTGCCAGCTACGCAGGCTGCTGGCAGTCCACAACAAGAAGTTTCTTAGGATGAGAAGCAAAACGTCTTCAAGGAAAAATCAAGTCCGGTTGCCTTTGGAAAAAAGCACCTTTGGGACAACCATGACCTGACAACCATCATAGATGTGATGAGAGTATGTGTTGGACAAACCAACATGGCTACTTGGGGAAGGTTGATTGGGTGTTTCAGAATTCTGGGAGTTGAAGTTCATGCATCTTAAAATCGATGAGGTTGAGAAATACCGAGGCTCTGAAGGGGAGGGTAGATTGGTTTTAATACCTGGGATTATTCCACACAAGAAACCAATTTAGCCTGCCATGAAGAATCCCTACAACACCCCTGTGAGGTAGGTTTGACTGCAAAGGAATGTCTACTCCAAAGTTCGCCAGTGACAAATCAAGATTTTAATCCACATTGTTTCTAGTCGAATAATAGTTCTCCTCATAATTGCAGAAGGTACTCCTTGCCTATCCTTCCTGTTAAGAAGCCGAATGACTTCGGAGAATGCCTTAAGACAGCAACATAGTTTTTTCCTAGGACCTTTGAATTAGAAGGAGCTTTAGAGATTCATCTAGTCAAAATCCTTGATCGGTGCAGCTTCACTGCCTCTGTTTGAAGAGATGGTGAACCCATTATTTCAGGTGGCAAGCTGTTCCACTGTCTAACAGCTCGTATTATCAGGAAATTCTGATTTGTTTAGCCTCGGCTTTCCTTCTTCATAGTTTGAATTCACTGGTTTCAGTTCATTTCTGCTTCCAAGCCAACGCTGCGCATGGTTTCTAACCAGTGGTGAGATTCAGCCGGTTTAGGCCGGTTTGAGTGAACCGGTTGTTAAATTGTTGGCTGGCCCCTCCCCTCCTCACCCAGGAGTCCCCACGCACCCCATTTTGAGTCTCAGGTAAGTGCAGGGAGGCCTACTAGGCCGAAAACAGGGCATGGGGGGTGTAGTGCCCCACCCCGCAGCCCATTTCTGCTCCCAGGAGGCTGCAGGGAGGCCTACTAGGCCCAAAACAGGATGCGGAGGGGGGGCAGTGCGTCCCCCACGTAGCCCGTTTTTGCTCCCAGGGGGGTGCAGGAGGCCGAGTGCTGCCTGTCACATTCCCTGGCCACGCCCACCCAGCCGGTCATTAGGGCAGAGAACCAGTTGTTAAGTTATTTCAATCCCACCACTGTCTCTAACTGGTGTGATGGGTCAGGGGAAGGTCCCCTCTGGAAATGAGCAGAACCCAGAGGAAAAATCGAAATGAAATGGTTTTAAAATACAATTCAATTGGATTCAGTTTTGCCTTTGAATGGCCTTAAATCAAACGATGAAATCCAATTGGCTTCCCATTAATTCCCTTTTTTTTCCTGAGGGGAATTGAACGAGCCTTCTGTGAAGATGCTTTTAAGAACCTCAAACTCATATTTAATTCCTCTCCAGTTTGACATTTCCCGATAAGGAACGCAGATGAGTGGCTAAGAGTCATTTCCACCATGACGAAAAATTTCTGGTGTCTCTCTTAATGCGCCTGCATAAAACGATTCACCGATGTCTTATTAGTAATGATTATTCATACATGGGCTGACTTATGTTTATCTTAATCATTTTCCTTATTTGGAGGACGGAGTCCTTCTTCCTAACCCAAATGCGGAAGTCTTGCTTAAAATATGCATTAAACAATCCGTTCTTCCTTTTTTGTCCAGCCAAAATATATATCCCTGCAGATTTCATCCATGAGATGCAAATGAGGTGTCCACATTTTTTTTTTTTTGCATTCAGATTAACTGATAGGAATGAAGCAGGGTGATTTTTTTAAGTTTAATTGAATTCGTCATCATCCTTTAACCATAATCCCTTGCGGAGTGGAGTCTGGGCAACTGAATGGAGCTAGCGGAGTGTTTTAATGGCCGGATGCCTTTCCTGTCGCCAGCGTGGAGTTTTTTGTTCAGCAGATATATTCTCAGTGTGCCTAGAGAGAAAAAACATCTGCCTCTACTTAGGATCGAACTCATAGCCTCCTGATTGTGAGGCGAGAACTCCACCTCTATGCTACCACACCACTCCTTTAAATTTAATTGAATTCCCATTGAAAAAAACAAAACACTGTCTCGGTTCGACAAAATAAATGTTTTTCTAATAATGCCAAATTTGGAACATTTGTTTTAGCCACAGAATGTAAGATTGCTCTCATAGTTTTTTTATTTTTAAAAAGATACCTGAAAATAAATTTTGGGTTCTGGATTTCGTTCACAGGTCGGCCTCGACTTACGACCAAAGTTGAGCCCAAAATTTCCTAAGTGTGAGAGTTGTTAAATGAGCTCTGCCCCATTTTACGACCTTTCTTGTCGCAGGTGTTAAGCGAACCACCGCCGTTGTTAAGTGAGGAACACGGTTGTTAAGTGAATCTGGTTTCCCTCATTGACTTTACTTGTCAGAAGGTCGCAAAAGGGGATTGCGTGACCCCAGGACGCTGCAACCATCATAAATATGAACCAGTAGTGTCCAAATTTTGATCACATGACCACGGGGATGTGGCAACGGTCATAAGTGTGAAAAAACGGTCCTAAACCACTTTTTTTGAAGTCGTTAACTTCGAACGGTCATTAAATGAGAGGTGGTTGTAAATTGAGGACTACCTGTATTTAATTCCCAAAAATTCTCCTCACAAATCCTGAAATTTAAAGCAGAAATGGGGAACTATAGCCCCTTTCTGATTTGTGAACTTCAACTTGTGAAGTCCACAAATCATAAAAGGGCCATAGCTCCCCACGTCTGATTTAAAGGAAAAACCACACACCATCCCATATATTAAAATGGCCTTTAGCATTTCTGTTGTGGCCTGTTGGCCGCCAGCCCCTCCAACAGCCGAATTAGAGGAGGAGGAGGAGCCATAGGAGTCAGGGCCAGCATCAAGGCAACCTGAGAGGAAGAGGGAATGGAGCTGGCAGAGAGAGAGAGAGAGAGAGAGGCAGAGCCTGGACTGTCCTCAGATGGAGAATCAACAGCCCCAAGGTCTGGAGGTGGCTGATAAGGAAGAGGAGGAACAGCTGGGTCCAGTGCCTGATGCACGGATGCGCAGAAGGGAGAGGAGAGGAGAGCAGTGGAAATCTATGGTCCGGTCCTCAGGACGGAAGAGCCATTGCTGCTAGCGAAGCCCCACCCTAGCTCTGGGGATAAAAGGCAGGGGGCACAGATGAATAAATATGGCAGACAACTATTCATGTCCCTGCCGGACGGACTTGTTAGCCTGAGGTGAGAGAGAAACTTTTTGCCTGGGCTGCCGGCACTTCTAATAAAGGAATCTTCGAGTTAACTTCAGAGGGTTTGTCGTGTTTGGGGAGCTGGGTCAGAACAATTTCTCATTTAATGTACCACCATGTTCTTACGCTCCCATGTCTGTTCTTTCTTGTTTCCCCTCGACAGCCTTCACCTACTTTTACAAGGGAGACCGTTATTGGAAGTTTAACAATGAGAAACTCAAAGTTGAACCAGGATACCCCAAGTCAGTGCTGCGAGACTGGATGGGATGCACTACCGATGACCGTCGCGAGGGAGAAGAAGTCATCATCATTGAGGTGGACAATGCTGAGGAACGCGGGCTGAATGCCGCCGCAGTGGCGATCCCCGTCCTGCTGCTCCTCACCATCTGTGCCGTGGGAGTCGCCATTCTGATCTTCAAGCGTTACGGCACGCCCAAACGGTTGCTCTATTGCCAGCGGTCACTGCTGGACAAGGTGTGACCGACCTTTCGAGATGTTTCAGGAGGACAGGTCTCACCTGCTTTCCACCCTGTCTACCTGCCTGTCACAATTCGGGTCCGGTCTCTTTGTTGCCACCTTTTGAGTCATCTTTCTCCTGGCACCCCATATTCCTCCCTGCTTCTTCGTCCCGTTTGCTGTTGGATGTCTTGTCCGGCTCGCCTGCTTGCCAGCCATCAGCCACGTTCTCTCTCCGAGAGCTTTTCTTGTCCACGGTGGTCCTCCTTCTTTCCTTCCTGTCTTTCCCTCAGCCTCTCTTTCCTTCCCACGACATTTCCGTTATCCATTCTCACCCCACTGGGCAAGCGGGTGTGCTGAGCACACCCCTTAATTAATCTGATGAGGCAGAAAGTTGAGGAGCCCACTTTACGGGGCGTTATGGCCAGGCTAACCTCATGGCTACCCATCTGTTGACCTCGTAGAGAATGGACACGCCTCATGACCTTCCCGCTTGCTTGCAAAACCGGTGGCCCGAAGTCCATACCGCGAACACTTTTAGTTCTCCCGACCATCCCTTGGAATTTCAAATCTAAAAATTGGTCTCTAGGTCTCTCTCTCTTGCCACCTTGCTGGTCCTTCCTTCTGAGGGCAAACGGTGGAAAATCATCTCATCCACGTTGCCGAACCAGAAACCATAATGGGTAGGGAAGTTGCAGGTTGTGGGCCCATAGGTGGGCAAAGCGTTATTAGAGCTCAGTTCTAGAGATCCATGGATCTGGAAAGGAAGTACGGTGTTTCCGAAGGAGACCTTCTCCTGCCATTGGGCGAGAGGGAAGGAGGAACTGTGGGTGACCGGCGATGGAGTCTTACCGATCAAAAACAGCAGGGAGGAAAACGGGTGGGATGCTAGGGTTGGAGGGTCGGTCCCAAACGCCAACTTTTCTTGGGGAGGGGGCAGCGAAGAATCATAAAGGGCCTAACGGGTCAGGTGGGAAAGGGGGTCAGCCGAGCTTTCCTCATGGTGTAATGAATGGACCATTGGTACCTAGATCATAGTGGAAAATGGGGCATGTTTGAGAGAGAAAGAGAGGGAGGGAGGGAGAGAGGGACCAAGATTATGTGGGCTACAGGAGATGTTTGCCAAGACCAGTTGTCCCATCCGGGTGCCTTCCAGATGTTGAGATCCGGGATCATCCAAAAATTCAAGATGGCCGCCATCATTGACCGCCATCTTGATTTTTTTTTCAACCGCCCCAAGTTTGGGCTCAATTTTTAAGGCTTGTTGGACATTTTGGCCGAGAATTTGGGGACGGAGTCCTCCATTTCCCTGGAAGACACCTGACTGGTGATCAGGTTGACCCGCCAAATCCAGATGTTGGCAGGGCCGCTTCTGGAAGTGTTAACTTCTCCAGCTGACGATATTAGCCTGGTGTTTACAGTTGTCCCTTAAAACAGGGGTTCTCCAACCTTGGCAACTTTTTAAGACTTTACGGTCTTCAAATGCCAGAATTCCCCAGCCAGCATGTCTAACTGAGGGATTTTGGGAGTTGAAGTCCACTGGCATTGTAATTTAAAACAGGGGTCCCCAACCTTAGCTACTTTAAGACTTTACGGACTTCAACTCCCAGAATTCTCTAGCCAGTGTGGCTGCCTGAGGAATTCTGGGAGTTGAAGTCCACTGGCATTGTCATTTAAAATGGCCCCCAACCTTAGCTATTTCAAGACTTTACGGACTTCAACTCCCAGAATTCCCCAGCCCAGCATGTTTGCCTGAGGAACTCTGGGAGTTGAAGTCCACCCATCTTAAAGTGGCCACAGTTGGGGACATGTCTGCCTGAGGAATTCTGGGAGTTGAAGTCCACCCATCTTAAAGTGGCCATGGTCGGGGATCCCCTGATTTAAAATCTATTCCAGATTCTGCGAAAATGAACCGAAAGCAGCATTTTTTTTTTTTGCAAAACGAGGGTTGGGGCGGGAGAGATAAATTGCACCGGAGAACTGCCTCAAACTGCCTTATGATCCTGTGTCTTGATTTATTATTTTTAAGTATGTAATTTTAATTATTATATAGAAATGCCTTTTTTTTTTAAAGAAAAAAAATGCAAGGGATTAAAAATAGCACATTAATGGGATGTGGGGAAATTAGAATAGGCATAGGAGGAGAATGTCGAAATCCTGCAGGCCGGGAACTGGGTGCCTTAAAACCCACCCACCCCCAATTCCTGCTCAGAGTATTTTTAATAAGGGCAGGGGGGTGGTGGATTTATATAAATATTTTCGAAAGGGGTCTCCAAACGGAATTAAACTGTGTTTAACGATCGAATTGTTTCTGGGTGGGGTGGGGGGTGGGGCTTAATATTGTTTATTGTTCAACTTTTTATTATTATTGTTATTATTTTGTTATTAATAATAAACACCCGTTCTTTCAAAGGGATATATTATATATATATATGTATAATGTCAAATGGCGACAGCTGGTAATGTAGGCTGTTACATTACAATACGTTCTGTTATTCCATTTTTTTACGTTAGCAATAATAAATTAAAAAAAAAAACCACACAAACAATCCATTTCTGGGTGGAAATGGACTTGAAACGCTGGAAGTTTTAAAAGATTTATTTTACTTTTGGCCCCTGCCTACGTTGTCTGGAACTGTTTTGTTACTTTAAAAAAAAAAAACTTTTTAAGAAACGGCAAAGTTAGTTTTTCCCCTTTTACGTTTTTTTTAAAAAAGAAAAATAATAAATGCTGGATTTTCCCCTCTTTTTTAAAAGTAGTATAAAGTGTGATTTATTTTTTTTTCTTTCGGAGGGAAAAATAGTACGAGTTAGCGTCCTCGACTTACAAGAGTTTCAAAGTTACCACGGCACTGAAAAAAAGGGACCATTTTTTTTTCACACTTATGACCGTTGCAGCATCGCCGTCGGTCATGTGATCGAAATTCGGACACTTGGCATCCGATTCATATTTAAGACGGTCACGGTGTCCCGCAAAGTCAAATGGGGAAGCCGGAGTCACTCAACAACCGTGTTCCTAACTTAACAACTGCAGTGACTCACTGAACAACCATGGCCAGAAAGGTCGTAAAAAGGGACAAAATTCACTTAACATCCGTCTTACTTAGCGACAGAAACATTGGGCTCAAATGTTGTGGTCGTAAGTCGAGGACTTGCTGTATAAAGCAGCGTTCTGACGGAACCTCAATCCCTGTCTGGAATGTGGTTCCTTCTTATTTGTCTATAACAGGGGTCGACAACCTTAAACACTCAAAGGTCCTATCAGAAGTCCCCCGTTCAATTCTGGAGCTGACCGGAAGTCTGGTTCCACTACCATAGAGTCTCCTCCTAACTCGGCGTTCTTTTTCCTCTACATCTTCTAACCGAAAGCCGTATCAATTGTGGAGCTGATCGGTGACACGGAGCTGCAACAGACGGATGAAAGAGCCACATTCGGCTCCGGAGCCACGGGTTGCTGACCCTTCTTTGATTGAAAATGTGAGGATTGAAACAGATTCGATTTGCAGGCAGTCCCCGACTTACGACAGTTTGCTTAGTGACCGTTTGAAGATACAACGGCACTGAAAAAAGTGACTTATGACCATTTTTCGCACTTAACGACCATTGCAGCATTCCCATGGTCACGTGATTTACATTCGGGTGCTTGACCACTGACTCGCACTTACGACGGTCATGGTACCCCGGGGGTCGTGTGATCCCCTTTTGCGACCTTCTAGCGAGCAACGGGGGAACTGGATTTGCTTCACAACAGTGTTACTTGAACAACTGCAGTAGTAATTCGCTTAACAAACGTGGCAAAAAGAGTCGTAAAACGGGGCAAGACTCACTTCACAAATTTCTCACTCGGCGACGTAAACTTTGGGCTCGATTGTGGTCGTAAGCCGAGGACTAACTCCTATACTCGGTCTGTGTTTAAGTAAGACCTGAATTCAGAGAAAATTATTCCCTAAACAGTTTTATGAGTTTTATGATAGATTCAAAATACTTTAGCATTGCCTCCGACTCGCCCTTCGTCATCCAAAATCGACAACACGGCCATCAAAGGTGCCCTCTTAGTGGTGGCCACGGGGAGAGTGATGGGTGTTGTAGTCCGACATATCCAGAGGGCCTCACGCGTGACGTGTCTTCCATTAATCCAAAGCTACAATTTGTGGGTTAAAAGTTTTCCCCATTTTTCGCACAGCTGAAATCCGGCTTGAATTCAGAGTGTGTGTTATTGTGTTTCATTGGGGGAGGGGGGGTGAGTGGTAGAGGCAGGGTGTTTATACATTGGCACAAATTTCACAAAACAACAACCAACAAAAACAACACATGAGCTGATCGCTTATCCTTGCCAAAGTATGTTGCGTCCTAATATTCTTGGCACAGCTTAGAGCCAAAGTTGAGATGGAGGCATTAAAAATAACAAAAATTATATTGGGGACAGGAACTTCTTGCTTCATTCCTTTTTCTTCCTTTCTTCTCCTTTCCCCTTCTCTTCCTTAATTCCTTTCCTTTTTCCTCCCTCCCTCCTCCTCCCTTTCCTTCCTTTCCCTTCTTTCCCATTCTTTCTTTCCTTTTCCTCCCTTCCCTTCCTTTCCCTTCAATTTTCCCTTTTTTCCTTTTCCTCCCTCCCTCCTCCCTTCCCTTCTTCTTTCCCCTTCTCTTCCTTCCTTCCTTTCTTTCTTTCTTCCCTTCCCTTTTTACCTTCCATTTCCTTTCCTCCTTCCTCCCTTTCCTCCTTCCCTTTTTACCTTCCATTTCCTTTCCTCCTTTCTCCCTTTCCTTTCTCCTTCCCTTCCTTCTTTCCCATTCTCTTCCTTCCTTTCTTTCCTTTTCCTCCCTTCCCTTCCTTCTTTCCCCTTCTCTTTCTTCCTTTTTCTTTCTTTCTTTCTTCTCTTCCCCTCCTTTCCCCTTCCTTCCTTTCATTTCCTCCTTCCTTCCCTCCCTCCCCTTTCTCCTTTCCTTTCCTTCCTTCCTTTCCTTTTCCTCCCTTCCCTTCCTTCTTCTTTCTTCCTTCTTTTCTTTCTTCTCTTCCCCTCTTCTTTCCCCTTCCTTCCTTTCCTCCTTCCTTCCTTCCCTCCCTCCCCTTTCTCCTTTCCTTTCCTTCCTTCTTTCCCATTCTCTTCCTTCCTTTCCTTTTCCTCCCTTCCCTTCCTTCTTTCCCCTTCTCTTCCTTCTTCTTTCTTTCTTTCTTCTCTTCCCCTCCTTTCCCCTTCCTTCATTTCCTCCTTCCTTCCCTCCCTCCCTCCCCTTTCTCCTTTCCTTTCCTTTTCCTCACTTCCCTTCCTTCTTCTTCCTTCCTTCTTTCTTCTCTTCCCCTCTTCTTTCCGCTTCCCTTTCCTTTCCTCCTTCCTTCCTTCCCTCCCTCCCCTTTCTCCTTTCCTTTCCTTTTCCTCCCTTCCCTTCCTTCTTCTTCCTTCCTTCTTCTTTTTCTTCTCCCCCCTTTTCTTTCTCCTTCCTTCCTTCCTTTCCTTCCTTCCCTCCCTCCCCTTTCTCCTTTCCTTTCCTTCCTCCTTTCCCGTTCTCTTCCTTCCTTCCTTTCCTTTTCCTCCCTTCCCTTCCTTCTTTCCCCTTCTCTTTCTTTCCTTTTTTCCTCCCTGCCTCTTTCCTCTTCCTTTCCCTTCACTCCCCCCCTCCCCGTGGCTTCCTTCCTTCCTCCCCCCCTCCCTTCCTCTCTCCCTCATTCCTTCCTTCCCCCTTTTCCTGCTCTTCAGAATTGAAAGGCTCTCGATCCTAACCTAGCAAACAGCTACTAAGCTATTATTATTTTTTTCCGTAAGAATGAGATGGCAGTCCCATGGGTTAATTGCCATCCTCCGCCATCCTATTGTGTAATGTTTATTTTGAAATAGCCTTTCCTGGTATTTTGCTTTGCAAAACGTGACATGACAATTCTGGGAAGTTCTGTGTTTGTGTGTTTTTGTCTCTCTCTCGCTCTTTCTCTCTCGCTCTCTCTCTCCTCTCTCTTGCATCATCTAGCTATCTAGCTACCTTTCTAGCTATCTCTATCCATCCATCATCCATCCATATCTATCAGTCTGTCTATCTATATCTATCAGCTCTCATTATCTCTCTCTCTCTCTCTCTTGCTATCTATCATCTAGCTACCTCTCTGTCTCTCTCTATCCATCCATCATCCATCCCTATCTACCTATCTACCTACCTACCTACCTACCTACCTACCTACCTATCTATCTATCTATCTATCTATCTATCTATCTATCTATCTATCTATCTATCTATCTATCTATCTATCTATCTATTTACCTCTCTCTCTATCTGCTACTTACCTATCTCTCTACCTATCCTATAATATCTATCTATCTATCTATCTATCTATCTATCTATCTATCTATCTATCTGCTACTTACCTACATATCTATCTACCTATCCTACCGTATCTATCGTATCTCTCTCTCTCTCTCTGCTACTTACCTATCTACCTACCTATCCTATCATCTATCTATCTATCGATCTATCTATCTATCTATCTATCTATCTATCTATCTATCTATCTCTCTATCTGCTACTTACCTACCTACCTACCTATCTATCTATCTATCTATCTGCTACTTACCTATCTATCTACTTACCTATCTCTCTACCCATCCTATAATATCTCTATCTATCTATCTATCTATCTATCTATCTATCTATCTATCTATCTATCTATCTACTTACCTCTCTCTCTATCTGCTACTTACCTATCTCTCTATCTATCCTATAATATCTATCTATCTATCTATCTATCTATCTATCTATCTATCTATCTATCTATCT